AGGTCCCCTTTCCCGGGGCGGGGGGGAGGGGCGCAGAGGGAGCCGCGGAGGCGGGGCCATGACCCCCTCGCGCGGGCTCCGGCCGCCCCTCCCCCGCCGCGGGCCCGGGCGCGCTCCCCAACCGCCAACCGCCCGCGAGGCGCCCGGGGTCGGATAGGCCGCGGCCCGCGCGCCCCGGCCCGAGCCCTTTTGTTGCGCGGAGGCGGAGGCAATGATTCAGCCCGCGGCCTGCACCGGCCCGGCCGCCGGGAGGGAGCGCGACGCAAGGCTGCCCCCGGCCGGAACGCGCGCCGTGCCGCGTCGCTGCCCCCGCCAGCCCCGGCCCCGCGCCTACCCGCCCGCCTTGCCCCGCACTCACGACGCGCTCCTTGGTGTGCTCAGGCTCGGTGATGACCACGGCCGCGCCGCCCGCCTTGCCTGCCGCCGCCGGCCGCGCCGCGCGCTTGCCCCCGCCGGGGGCCCCGTCGAGCTCCAGGCCGTCTTCGTCGCCGCTGCTGCCGCCGCCGCTGCTGCTACTGCAGCGCTCCGGCCGCTCGCGCTTCCTGCCCGCCGGGCCGCCGCGCTTCCTGGGCCCGGCGCGAGCCGTGCCGTTGCCCGAGCTCGGCTCCTCCCAGGCCGCCGCCGCCGCCTTCTTCCTGGGCATGGTCGCGGCTGGAGGGAGACACGGGGCAGCGGCGCACAATGGACGGGTTATAAACTGCGCGGGGGGAGGGGAGCGGAGACGAGCCACCCGGCCTCCACTTCCTCCCCTGCCCTCCCCAAAGTGGCGGCCGCGGGGTGGGCGGAGAGGGGGCGAGTTGGGAGAGGAAATCGCGCCCCTCCCTGGCCCCGGCGCGGCTCCTACGGGGAATCCCGCAGGGCAGCCGGGAGCCCCGGAGGCAATCCGCTGGAGGGAGAATGGAGACCCTCGGCCTGTCCTCGTTAGGTTTGCCCACAAAGCATCACAGTTGCAACCTGGCACCCCAAAAGTAAAGGGAAAGTAAAAGGAGCTTCCAATCTCCTAGATTTTTCATTAAAGGTGGCTTTGGGACACTTCCAAGATTCCCCCTTGGCACCTCGGTGGCAAGGAGCTCCCTGTCCCCGGCCACCCCACCTGCTGCTTTTGTCTCCGCGGCCTCCCCCCACTCAAAATCCACTCCTTGCATTTAATGCAACGTTCTCCCCACCCCGCGACAGCCCGGGAACCCCGTTCGGCCCCAGCTCGGCGGTTCCGACCTCGGGCTCTAGTTAGCCGAATCCCTCCGGTGGACTGACCCTGGCGAGGGGGGAAAGAGCCCGAAGAAAGCCGGACCCCAGCCCCAAACACCTGCTCGCACAACACGAAAAATAAAAACTTTAATGGTGCCCAACCCCCTCCCAGCCCCCTTGTCGGCTGTGCGGCCCCGCCGGTCTCTGATCCGACTGCAAAGTGCCCAGCTCCGCCGCCAGCGTCCCTGCGCTTTCCCCTGTCTGCCTTTTTTTTTTTTTTTTTAATTGATTTTGAACAATGGGATCTCTGTCTGTCTCCGATTAAACCACGTGGATCCGCCTTCCTTCCTCTTTTTATTCCTTCAATCCCCCAGCCCCCCTCCCCCAGGTTTTTATTTTTCACCTTTTCTCTGAAAAAAAGGGGGGGGAAATAAAACTTTCCTAGACCCCACAAACTGATCACTGTCGATTTTCAGCCCCTACCTGGTTGGAGTGATGAGAAACCGGAGAGAAAAAAGGAACAGAAGCAACTAAAAAACGGATCGGAGGGCTTTTTTTTTTCCGGCCCAGACGAGGGCTCCAGCCCACTCACCAGATACACTTAAAATGTAAATACGAGCTTCCAGAACAAATGCTACAACACAAAACAGAAACACATGTGCGGCCGCGCGGCAAGCGAGCGCGCGGCGGGGCGGGAGGCGCGGGGTCCGGGGCGCGCGCGCCCCCTGCAGGCCGGCGGACCCGGCGCCGGCGCCCCCGCCCTGCTCGGCCCGGCCCATCCGAGCCTGCGCCCCGCGCCGCGCGCCCAGCCGCGGGTCTCCGCTCCGCCAGGCTGCGCCTTTCGCTGGCCCGCGAGCGCGCCTCGGGCCTTCCACGCGGTACGGCCTGCGCGTCAGGGACTTCTTTGCGGCTTAGGAGGATGTTGGATTGTTTTTCCTGGGCACGTCTAGACAGGTCGCCTGAGGACACTCGCTGGAAAATAGTTACTTCGCTCACGCAGCAGCCAACAAGGGACGTGCCCTAATTGAGCGATTGGAATGAAAGATGAATACAATTTGAATAATTTTTTCCTGTGCAGGGAGAAGCTAAGTTTTATTTGCCTATGGATGTGTCCAGTATGTAGCAAAGTACTGTGACACGGAAGAATCACATAAAGGTTTGCTGTGTTAGTGAATTAATTCGTCATTAATTTGAGGGCTGCGGAGGCACTGGAAGCTGGTTTTGATGGGAACTTTTCATTTTTTGACAAACATTTACTGAGCCCGCAGTACATGCAAGACCCACAGTGGCTGCAGAGCCAGGGAACGCGGTTTCCACACTAGTGGAACGAACGCACAACCTAACGGAAAGACAGATCATTAAACAAGTAATTACAAGAGTGATAAGCTTTACAAAGTGACACCTGTGTAGGAACATTATGGCGAGGGGATTTATCCTATTATAGGGTCAGGGAAGGCATTTAGGTGGAAAGTTATGCCGAACAATTTAAAGGATGAATAAGACGAGATGAAAGGGGGCAGGAAAAAGTATTCCAGACCAGGTGGGGTAAACGGGATGCTCCAAATCCCGAGATCTTGAGAGACACCTCCTGGGAGGGAAGCTGTCAGGTCGGGCTGGGATGAGAAGAGCTAAGAGGCTGAGGAGGTAGGCAGGGGTGGGGGACCTGCATAGACCCTCGTGAACTACAGTGAGGCTTGATCTCGTTCACGTGTCCTGGGAGGGGTGGAAAAAGGCTTGCTTGCTTCCTACTGGTCTCTCCCCTCCTCCTCTCCACCCCACTTCCATTACGATCTCACGATCTCACCATCACTGGCTCTCTTCTCAGAGCTTTTCTCCCGCTTCTTTTTTCCTTCGGCGTACTGCACAAGGAAGTGCCTTCTTTAGACAACTTCCTGAAGAAGGATAAAGTTCTAGGATTTTTGTGATTCATTCATTCATTGTTAGTGCAAAAAACAGGATTGGGAAGCATCAAGTGTCCTTTAAAGGAAGACAGAAACCAAGAGGCCCAAATCTAAGGTATTTGATTAAAGTCAAAAAGTCTGTGTGTCAAGGGAGCCGAGAGCGCTTACGTAAAAGAACTTTGGAAATGAGAAATCAACTGGTACATTTTAGAGATTTTCAGAAAGGTCAAGATGGAATAGAAGCACCCTTTGAAAGCCTCTTCTTAATAGACCTGCATTTAAAAAGATTTGAGAGATTAAACTTTGATGCTTTGATATAAAGCATAAGTAGAACCCACCAGAAAAGAATTTCGCCTAAATATGCCATCAAGTCCCCTTTAGGAATTGGCATGCTGATGCTTGTCAGCCGAGGCGGGTGGCTGGGTGTTTACCCTCTCAACACCCTGTGTGGCCAATTAGGAACAGCACTGACAGTACCTTTAGATTTCAGCCAGCAAGTCTTTTCCTTTTTTCTCCTGCCCCATTATAATGCTTTTTGCCAGCTCAAAAGACACATGCGTCAGGCACCCTGATGCAATGAGACGCTAATATCATATTGCATCATCTGATCCTAGGTGTGGTGCTCCTGAAACTGGTTTTTCTTGAGGTTATGCTGCAGCAGAAAAGCACTCTGGGAATAACACCCTGGAACTGGCCCTACTCGTCAGATGACAAAAGTAATTTTTGCAACTCCATGCCTCAATTCCACACCACTATTCTCCCAGGGAAAGCCTGTGTGACTCTCCCAGCTGTAATGGGTGTGCAACAGACATTCATCAGTTTGGTGTGTCATACTGCCACTTATGTAACGAGGTGCACCTACAGGCAAGCTGAAAATGACACTTCCTCCTTCAAACTGTGCGTGGAATTTCACCTCGCTTTAATTGAGCAACTTCTCCAGGGACAGGATGGTTTGGCGCAAAAGCTGGAGAGGGGAAGGAAAAGAAGGTGGCTGAGATTTCTCTGACACTTTGGGGCACAGGTGTCTGGCACTGTGCTGAGCATTTTACACCCAGAATTTTGGAAATGTGGTTCCAAGTGCCAGCCTGCCATCGCTCTTTGACCTCATCTTCAGCAAAATCATATTCTAAGTTAGATTCAGCCACACTTAAGCTCTCTTCCAGAGGTAAGGTGTAATTCCTTTCTTTTGTTCTTTTTTTTTTTTTTTTGAGATAGAATCTTGTTCTGTCACCCAGGCTGAAGGCTGATGGCATGATCCCAGCTCACTGCAGACTCTACCTTCTTTGCTCAAGCGATCCTCTCGCTTCTGCCTCCCAAATAGCTGGGACCACAGGCAGGCACAACTCTACCTGGCTACATTTTTTTGTTTGTTTTGAGATGGAATCTTGCTCTGTCACCCAGGCTGGAGTGCAGTGGCACGATCTTGGCACACTGCAACCTCTGCCTTCTGGGTTCAAGCAATTCTTCTGCCTCAGCCTCCCGAGTAGCTGGGATTACAGGTGCCTGTCACCACGCCCAGGTTATTTTTTGTATTTTTAGTAGAGACGGGCTTTCACCGTGTTAGGCAGGATGGTCTTGATCTCCTGACCTCATGATCTGCCCACCTCAGCCTCCCAAAGTGTTAGTATTACAGGCATGAGCCACCGTGCCCTGCGTTTTTTTATGTTTTGTAAAGACAAGGTCTCTCTCTATTGCCCAGGCTGGTCTCGAGTGGTCTTCCCACCTCAGTTTCCCAAAGTTATCAGATTATAGGAGTGAGCCACTGTGCCCAGCCTCAGAAGTGTAATTCTATTCAACTTGACTACAGAAAGCTACACCTCTAGTTGAAAGATGAATTTTCTGATCCAGTGTCTATAAAAATGAAACCAGTGATCCTGGGAGTGATGCTACTCAGAAATGGAAACTTGATTCTTTTTTTTTTTTTTTGGAACAGGGTCTTGCTCTGTCACCCAGGCTGGACTATAGTGGCACCATCACAGCGCACCGCAGCCTCGACCTACCAGGCTCGAACAATTCTACTTCTTTGGCCACCCTAGTAGCTGGGGCTGCAGACATGCTCCGCCATGCCCAGCTAATTGTTCTAATTTTTCTGTAGAGACAAGGTCTCACCGTGTTCCCCAGGCTGGTCTCAAACTCCTGGCCTCAAGAAATCCTTTTGCCTTGGCCTCCCAAAGTGCTAGGATTATAGGTGTGTGCCGCTGTGCCTGGCTTTTTTTTACTCTTTTTAATGTGGCTACCACAAAATTTGATATTATATATTATTATTTTTTTTTTTTGAGATGGAGTTTTGCTCTTGTTGTCCAGGCTGGAGTGCAGTGGCATGATCTCGGCTCACCGCAACCTCTGGGTTCAAGCCATTCTTCCACCTCAGCCTTCTGAGTAGCTGGGATTACAGGTATGTACCACTATACCTGGCTAATTTTGTGTTTTTTAGTAGAGATGGGGTTTCTCCATGTTGGTCAGGCTGGTCTCGAACTCCGGACCTCAGGCGATCTGCCTCGGCTTCCCAAAGTGCTGGGATTACAGGCATGAGCCACCGCGCCTGGCCACCTATTAAATTTTTTGTGGCTCATATTTTATTCCTATTGGACATGACTGCCTTTGAAGGCATAGCTGGAAAACCAGTAATTTCCTCCCCACCCAATTCTTCATGCGTCTGTTCTCTAGTTTCTCCTATGTGTAAAACGGCACAGTAGAGTTTGGGCTAAATTTCTCTTGAGGTTAATTCTGGGTTTCATATACCCCGATTCTGAGGACAGTAGTCAGCGGGGGATCCTGGTCATAGTGTTTAGAGAGCTGTCTTCTGGGAGATGAAGCTCTAGTCGTCCTATTTCTGACAGTGAGTCATGATCTTTTCAAACCCAAAGAGTCTTTAAATATTATAGTTGGACCTTTAGGTCCTCAGTCTGCCAGCCCTGCCTGGGCTTGGTATGTGGTTTCTTCATCTCTGTTTTTCTAGCAAGCACCCAGGGCAACCTGGCATATAGTAAGCTGTGAATATATGTTTGTTCATATAAATAATATGCAGGGGAAGAACTGAATCCTGGAGAGACACTGAGACCTCCTGAGGCCACACAGCTGGCAGATGGGTGAGAATACAGATATCTGCATCAGGAGGAGCATTAGCAGAAACACTGAATGTGGCCAGGAGTGGTGGTGCACGCCTGTAATCCCAGCAATTTGGGAAGCTGAGGCTGGACGACTGCTTGAGCCCAGGAGTTCAAGGCCAGCCTGGACAACACAGTGAGACCCCATCTCTACAAAAATTTGAAAAAATTAGCCAGGTATGGTGGCACAAACCTGTAGTCCCAGCTACTGTGGAGACTGAGGTGAGAGAATCTCCTGAGCCAGGGAGGTCCAGGCTGCTGTGAGCCATGATCGTGCCACTGCACTCCAGCTTGGGTGACGGAGTGAGACCCTGTCTCAAAAAAAAAAAAAAAAAAAAAAAAAAAAAGGCCCAGGCATGGTGACTCACGCCTGTAATCCCAACACTTTGGGAGGCTGAGGTGGGTGGATCAACTGAGGTCAGGTGTTTGAGACCAGCCTGACCAACATGAAGAAACCCCATCTCTACTAAAAATACAAATTAGCTGGGTGTGGTGGTGCATGCCTGTAATCCCAGCTACTCAGGAGGCGGAGGCAGGAGAGTCACTTGAACCCGGGAGGTGTAGGTTGCAGTTAGCCGAGATTACCCCATGGCACTCCAGCCTGGAAAACAAGAGCAAAACTCCATCTCAAAAAAAAAAAAAAAAAAAGAGAGAGAGAAATATAGAATCTCAGGTTTGGCCCCAGACCTACTGAATCAAAATGTGCTTTTTTTTTTTTTTTTTTTTTTTTTTTTT